TTCGGTCGAGTTAAAGTCCGAGCTGTGTGTGAAATGATATGTGGTACCGCCTCCATGGCATAAGTTTGCGTAACGTCATGTCCGGACCCGCTCGTGGAGAACACGTGTTTCCGTCCCTCTAGTGGAGGTCCTCCTGATGGAGCCTGCAGCCAGATACTCTTGGAGGTTTTCCGATTGTGCCGCACCGGATCATCCTACGCAGCGCCGAAGGATCCTGGCCAGTTATTCACCATACTCAGCGTTGCAGGATTGCGTGAGCAGTGCGGTCAACCGCTAAGTTATTAGCGTGTAAATTATGAGGATATCTGCTACCGATCGATTGTATTGGAGGCAGATTCTCTGTATTCTGCGTTCGTTGTTGTAATCGTGTATCTTGTAGGCCTGTTAAATTTTGTTTTGTTAGTTCTCGGTAGACTGCGAAATGTTTAAGAGAGAAGGAATAACACTGTAATAAACCTACAATTGCGTCGGAGGCTGTACGGGGAGAATAGACCACCACAAGGCTTCAACTACAATTACAAAGAATTTTATTCAGTACAATTCATGCAGCGGCCCGTCGGGTCGGGTCGGGTCGGGTCTGGGTTCACAAAGGGTTCGGCCCCGCTGTCTCCCCGAAGCAAACCAACCCTTCCAAAAGTGTTAACCCACATTACCACACAGTGAATCCCGCACCACACAGCATCCCTATTAGGGCACAGCACACCAATAGCACTGCAATCCACAATAATCCCCACACTTCTGGCACAGGCAAGCGTTACAGGACCAGTACCGCCTCTATAGTCCCGCCCCGACCCCTAGCGGGCTACGCTGCTTACTTTAAAAGACACAAAACAAACATACAAGGACAAGATTAAAACACAGCATCCTCCCCGAGGCTCAAGACTCTCCCCCGGGGAAGGAACGTTCACACAGGTCCGTAGTCTAAGACACCACGCTGAAAGGGAATTACACCGCCGCTCCGTCACTATGGGGAGGCCGCTATTCACCTCTATCAAACACCCCAGACTAAGCAGCGATCATGCACTCCTAACCCCCCCGTCCTAATTGTCCTCCCCCTACCACACTGGGACCTGTCCCTGCAGCCCGTTATCTGGCTTCACTGCCGGCAGCCCTACACGGCATACGAGCGGCACCTCCCTCCCAGAACCAACGACTGCTGTGCCTAACAAAAATCTCTCGAGCGCGGCTCTCTCTCCCTCTCTTAACCCCACATCCCTAACAACCCTGGTGTAGCCACTTAATTAACCTTCCACGCCAATTCCTCCCCCTCCACACACACACACACACACACCACATTATTATAATACATTAAGCGAGGGTAGTAGTATTACTGTTACGTATTCGGTATGTACCGAGGTTAACCAGTAGATGGTAGTACTGTTATATGATTAATGATTAGAGATCGTATAAAGTGGTTGTATTTGTGTTATTTAGCTGAACATGTCTCCATGTTCTTATTGTTTTAGTTATTTATAGCCTATAATTTTATTTCCTTCTTTAGACCACATGCACACCCTGTCTACAACTTAGTCATTGCACCTGTAACAGCTAATGGCCAGTCTGTGTTAACTCTAGTGCAATACTGTACTACTTAATTGAATGCAGTAAAGTTTGGAACTGCATCTGCCTTCCTTGTTGTTCTTACCCACGCCACCAGAGAGGTGCCACCTTACCGGTACTTTCCTCATACAGTCATAGTTTCTAACACTTTAATATTATCGTTTCCTTTTTACAGTTTTTACCCCACATCCATCACACTTCTGAACTCGCAGCACCAAGTAGGCTACACATATTTATGTGTATTTACACCACTTGAGACACTCTACATCTGTGAAATTGCTCACCCACCAACTTACCAGCACTTTATTGTTTGTGTGTGTGTGTGTACATATATTTGGCCAGTTTCCCAGTCAAGGATTAAGCCTAAGCCTAGACTAGCTTTGAGTTTCAATGGTGAATTTCCATTGATACTGCAATTTAGTCCAAGACTAGGCTTAATCCTTGTTTGGGAAACTGACCCATAGTGTCTGTACATATTTTATTCTCCGATTCTGTCATGCCCCGATCGTCCGCTCCCTCCGTATGCCACGCCCCCTCATTAACCCTGTGTGGATTCCCCGTGTTTACCAGCTGTTCCTGATCGTTGTCATTAGTCCATTGTATTTAGTCCGCGTTTGCTTTTGTTTCCCTAGTCCGGTCATTGTTATGTCAGCCCGTTTGTTACTTGCTCCTTTTGTGTCGTTGCTTCCAATAAACCCCGTATTCGCCCTGACTTTTTTGCGTCCTGCGCCTTGTCTACCTTCCGTGCGTCGTCCCAGCGTGACAGATTCGATTTTATGCCTCAGATTCAATTTAATTGTAGGCTTAAGTATATCGTTCATCTTCTGGCGCGGTACAAATTAAATCTCATTGTACTTAAATGAAACATCTTTATCTCGTCTTAAACTGAGAAATTTCAACAGGCGCTAGTAGTTTTTTTCTCATAAGAAGGATGATATCGAGACTGGGTCAGCATTCACACATTAAATTATGACATGAAAACAGAACCATGATACAGCTATATGTGGCTAACCCATGTACATACCACGTAATAAGCCTAAAAGGGATAGAAGAACGCTCAAAATGGATGGGCTTCATAGGGTTAAAACTTTCTGTACACACCTTGAAATTATTTACCTAGCTGTTTTTACCATTTAGGCCTACCAATTTGAGCCCTCAACACATTTCCTATTTTTTTACGTATTTATTGCACTATACAGACCATTGCAATGTCTTCACGATCTACCCCAAAACCAGTGTGCGAAATACCCGTCAATATTCAGGGGGGGGGGGTCCCAATATCTCTCTTGTTGCGCAATACCGATCTTGATACAATTTTGCTTTTGAGGTTTTCAGGGAGTCTCATGGGTTAATCGGGGATGTATTTCGCACACTGCCCAAAACGTAAAGCGCAACTGATATTTTTGTCCAAATCCATTTTGCTGTTTTGCGCCCTGCATCGGCGGAAAGCGCGAAAAAAAGTTTTTGCTGGTTTCCTAGTCCCTCCCCAGAATTTATTGTACGTTCTCCATTTTCTGTTTGTTCTCAGTTTCTATATCGAAGAAAAGGCGTGTAGTCCTGATATTATCGGGTATTCATAGTGGTATATGTAGTAAAACAGATAATGTATTTCCAGGCTCTCATTTTAACTGCCCTTGTGTGCTGCATCAGAGATCTTTGTGATGGTAAGTTCATTATATTACCTAAGAGGGCAAATATCCTGTTGCTATGTGTCATATTTCTATGTTACTGTCACGTTCAGGCGCGGTGCGCAGAACGGGAAAGTGGGAGAGAGA